GCAATTGCAAAGTGATCACATTAGGGTGGATTTGATTAAGAGAAAAGCTAAAAATTCGCCCATACTGCTTCTGGAGCGGAGACGTATCGTGCATCCTGAAAACGTTTTTATCTCATTGATAACAACAGGTTGTGCATCTGGATCAATATGGATAACTTGCTTGTCATGACCCTTGTAAATATACTTAAAGATGTATTTCACTGATGTTATACTCGAGCAAACCTCAACATTTAGATGGCAGTTGAACATCATCAACAACTTTGGGTTATATGGGACAACCCATCTATTATCCATCATAATACCTTGTTTATTCACAGCAATTCCATTATCTCTCCTTCGATAAACCGGATATGTGTCCTTTCCTTGTGTTGTGGCTTCGTTGAATTGTCGAGGGTATCTAAAACGACAGGTTGGTGGATCACCTTGCATACAAGAACATTTTTTGTTTAATGTACCACAAGGACCATGTATCATGTGTGATTTGACCAGATCGTGTAGTATAGGATACTTTGTCGGGTTTGGAATTTCGGCCACACATACTTGTCATAATGGTCTGTATTGGTGAGCTTCCATTCAGGTTTCATTATTAAGAGAAAATGAGCATGTGGTAAACCACGTTTCTGGAACTCTATTACATAAACATATGCACTCACCACACCAAGGACGTGCCTCTTCAAGAGTTGTTCCTTAAGGTCATGTAACTTAGCACGAAAAACTCTTGCAACCAGATCTGGTCTATCTTGTGCTGTTTGAAAATGAAGTAACTCATTTTGGATTTCAGGCCAATTCGGATTGCACGTTATTGTAAGGAATATATCAGGTTTCCCTCCATCTTGAACTAAAGCCATAGCATCGAGAAATCGTCGTCGCATGTCACGAGGACCTCCGATGAAACTTGCTGGCAAAACAACACGTTGCCCAATCATACTTGCTTGTACCTCACCGGCATTGACACAATCCACAACACCTTGGTATAACTCCGCTCTTATTGTAGATTGGTTTTTTCTACAAAATTCCAAACGCGAAGTCTCAATCTTGATGTAGATATCTACCACAAATTGTTGTAATAATCTCCCTCCTAACATAATTACGTTCAAGTTTGATCGAATCTGCAACTTGTAACAGTAGTACTCCCGCATAGTTACAGTTTTCCTACCCGTTCTTATATCAGTCTCTACATAATGATTAAATTGAATAAATTATATCAATTTTTACATTTGTAAAATTTAACAATATTAAAATTGTGGCTATGCGTACCTTCTAGATCTTCATCGAAGATTTGGTCGTCATTAACCATCT